GTTGAGATTTGTAATGATTTAGCATTTTTTAACACAGAATTTCTCAATTGCAAATACTTATAAAACTCAGTCTTTGACATAGAATACTGGGACTTCAAGGATTCAAATGATTTAAACTCACCATGTTTAAAGAGGTCATAAAACCTCTTTACACCTACTTTATGCCATCCCACAAAGCTTGACCCTATGTTTTGCGGCAGAAGGTCTGGATTATTTATAAACGTTGACAAGATATCAAACGGAAGACTACTGTTAAAAAATTTTCTCAGTTTTCCCCACGTCCACATAGCATTATATATCAGTGGGTTATGCTTTATTACGTGAGGCAAGTCATTTAGACGTTTCCCTAGAAAATTAACAGGTGACTTTTAGTCTTTTTTTAATGTGCATTTCATTTAAACCTGCTTTTGTTGTATATTGCAGGTTATTTTCTTTATCTTCATTAAGATTCTGATGTTGCTGCTGTCCAAGCTGAAAGCAGATCAGGTGAAATTTACCGACTACAGATACAGGTATTTAAGATTTTACTGCTTCTCTGTCTAAATGTCAGGAAACGAGCTTGACCTTGAGAAGTGTTTCCAAAGTCTTCTTCTTAAACTGGTACAGCAGACTCCTGGCTTACCATTTAAATGTTAATCACTCACCATGTGCAGCACAAATTCAAATGTCACCCCCACAGCTCTGACCATAAATGTCACACCACGAGGGAAAATCATGCATATAAATGTATGCACAGGTTATATAATGTTTCTTATTCCCTTATCCTTTGCTCTTTTTAAATCTAACTCCACTTTAAAAATGCTCTTACACATTCTCAATGTTATATGTATTTGTTTAGCTTGGCCAGAGCAACACTGGTGCTGATTCCTCTGCTTGGAATCCATGAAGTAGTCTTCACTGTGCTGATAGACGAATGTGTAGATGGAAGCAGTCGCTATGCTCGGAACTTTGTCAACCTCACCCTCAGCTCATTCCAGGTAACACCACTAATACAAATTATCCACCTGATGAGAATTTTATTTTGTTCTAAAACTGCATTATAACTGCTATTTGTTGTGTACAATCTTTTTTAGGGGTTCTTGGTAGCTGTTCTGTACTGCTTCGCTAATGGAGAGGTATGTTTTTCTTTTGTCAGTTACAATAAATGCAGTTTTGATATCAGGAAAATTGTATAGCAAGAACTGAAAACTTAACAAAAAAAAAAAATTTAAAATGCACAAGTTCTTGCTTTGTTGCCTGAAAGCTTTAAAGCTTCTTTCTTCAGTTTCTGCAGGTTAGCAGACTACATACCTGCTTGTACTTCATAATATAACCCCAGCTTGTAGTACATTAGCCTCTATGGTCTGAGGCTCTCTGAGCTTCTATATTGACATATCATTGCACAAGGTAAAGACTGACAAGATAGTATCCTCATTAAAAAAAATCATGAGGCGCACAACTAATCAAAATAACACCAAAGTGGAGCGTGCAAGAACAATTGTTCACAAGGGAAAGTGGTGACCATAAACTACCACAGCCCCCTCGCCCCAACTAATAACACTTGAAACCAACAAATGAGATAAGTGGCCGGTCAGAGGAGTGT